TCTTCTCTTCGGTCTGAAAAAACAACTCCCGAATATGATTCTTAAGGATTTTATTTATTTCTTAATTTGTCAAAGAAAATTAAAATGCCCCCCTCAGCTTGATTTTGGAAAATTCCGTTTTGAATGCCATGTGCTGAGTCCAACAGTACTTTGTTTTGTATCCCTTTTTAACAACTGTAATTATTCTTCATCACATCTACTACCTTGAGATTAGTAAGAAATACAGTGGCACTGATAAAAGTTCAAAATGAAAACAATAAATGTAATACATTTTGAATTCTAATTTATGTTAAAATGTGCTTACTTTTAGAAGCAAAGATCATGAGTTAAAACAAATGATTGATGTAAGAGTGACTATTTAGTTAACTAGCTAATGTATTTACTTACTCAATGTGCATTTATTGAGTCTTCATAAGTTCTTGGTAATGGTCTATACCCTGGAAATATGTCTTTAGGAAAAAAAAAAAAATCCCCTGCCTTGTGTTTGCCCTTATCTAGTGGATAGCATGGTTATTGTAAAATGTATTACTTCCAGCGGCTTTAAGTACCATCTATGTCCTGAAAACTACTATTAGGACCTAATTCAGAAAACCAAAATCACTGTAAGGATTAAGAAAATAATTTTAATAGAATCCAATAACACATAGGTGTTAAAAGAGCTCAGGAGAGAGAAACAAGAGACAGTGAGGTCACTGACACATTATCAACCACTAAACTACTCTACAGAGACAGAATTGTCCAATGCACCACCAGACATAAACCAGAATGATGGCCACACTGCAAGTTGGGAGCCAGCAGCACTAAGGATGTTCAGCCACTGCTAGAAGTGTCACAGAAAGCAGGGAGAGAGTAAGGGGGGAAATCCCTTGAGTTGTCCACTCTTTCAGCCTTCAGCCTTCCATGGGTTAAATCCAACGTGCAACATGGTCAGCAGTGATTAACCTACTTCTGATGCATAGCAGAATGCAGAAAAGTTGAATAAACAGGGAAAGGCTGGGATGTTTATGAAACTTGTATCTCCTATCATTATTTTTCTCAACTTCATATCTATATGTTCAAATGCATTTGAATGTGAAAAGGCTCAATATACTGACTGCAGAAAGCATCAGACTTTGATTAGTACCATGTACAGAAAACATATTAACAAAGTAAATTAAAATAAGGCCTTCTTGTATTGCCCTGTTCTTCTAAAAGCTGAATTATCACAACTGCAATATTACAAAAACTTAGGGGTTCATGTTTTATTTTCTCTAACTCATATTTCCCTTTTCCTGACCTAGTCATACCATATTAGTTTTATTTTGCCTTTGCTTTGTTGTATCATTTGAGATGGGGTCTAGGTATATTTCCTAGGTTTCTCTTGAACTCCTGGACTCAAGTGATTTTGCTTCCTACTGTGCCCATCATTTCCATTCTGTATGTAAGTCTTGTCTCCATTTAACAAACAGCTGTATAGTCCAAGTCTACTTTACATCTTCCCCAGATTTTATAGTAAGACTGGCACATGGAGATCATGCCAGCTTACAGAAAATGTGAGTGAAAGGTACAAAGATTTCCCACGTAACAACTGCCACCGTGCATGCATAGCCTCCTCCATTAGCAGTGCTCCCCATCATTGGTATAGTTGGCACAACTGGAGGACATGGGCCCATCTTTATCATCAGAGCCCCTGGTTTGCATGAGGGGTGCATTTAGTGAGTTTAGACAAACGTGCAGTGGCATGTATTTACCATTAGAATACTGTGCAGAATGTCTTCACCACCCTAAACTCTTCCTGCCCCACCATTTACCTTTTTACTCTTCATAGTTTTGACATTTCTGGAATCTCATGTATTTGAAATATATAGAAGCTAATGTTTTCAGATTGATTACTTCACTTAATAATATACATTTAAGTTTCTTCCATGTCTTCCCACTGCTTAATAGATGTTTTCTTTTTGGCACTTTGTAATATTCCATTGTCTAGATGTACTACAGTTTGCTTTCCCTAGATATTTTCCCATACCTTATGACAGTCTCCCTGTGGCTAATTGTATTGTTCAAAGGTGGCCAAAATAGGCAGTTCTGTCGAGAGGAAGCTTAGATTAACAGTTGCCTAAGGCAAATTGGTTGTGCGGGGGAGTGACTAATGGATGGTGGGAGTAGGGATAAAGCACTAATGAATATGAGGTTTATTTTGAAGGAAACAAAAGTTTTCTAAAATTAGATCAAAGTGATGGTATCATAAGCCATTTAGGATACTAGAAACCATCAAGCTCTACACTGCAAACGTGGAAACTACATGATACAAATATTACATCTGGTGATACTATTAAATATACACAACCACAATAATTTTAGTGAGATTGGTAATGATATTAAAAGTACATAAACAAAAAACTTCTAGCGAGATCTTATAAATATAGTCTTACAATTGTTCCTTAATATTCTCCCAGAATAAATTCTAAATTCCTATCCTGGGCCTATAATACCAAGCATAAATCCCAATAAGGTCATAACTTTGTCCTCCCCGATGACCTTATCCCTTTCAACTCCCTTCAATCCCCACTAGGGTTAGCGATGCAGGCATTTCTGTGCCTCCCAGAGCCTAGGTTTGCTCTCTGCATACAGTTTTTGCATCACGGCTAAGCATAAACCTGAAGAATTACTCTAGATCTTCATATATTTACATCCTTATAACCCTTTACATCCTTATAATACCTCAGCTCAGGTATAAACTATTTCAGGCAGATTGACAACTGGCATAGTCACCTTCATCACATTCTTTACATAACACACTGTTTTGTGTTTATAACACTTTTAAGACTGTGAACTATAATCTGGTCTGTTTTTTTTCTGTGTAATGTCTTTTCTTCCACTAGAATTTCAGTTTCATGAGAGCCCAGCTCTAAGCTTTTTATTATCAATTTGCAGTACTCTGAAATGCACACTGTGCAGATGCTTGGTAAATATTTGTTCAATGAGGAATTCTCTACACTTAATTACCTTCTTGTATTTGTTTCCATGGAGCAAAAGAGAGTTTTTCAAAACAACGTATTCTTTGTAAGCTTCGTCCTACCTTTGCCTGCTCATAGTGAGGGAAATCTTGAGGAATCTTTAGAGCAGACTAGCAGTATCCAGAGAGTATGCTAATCCCATTCTTACCTGTCATTTTAACAAGCTGTATCAGATCTTCCTACAGGAACAACAAAAAAACCTTATAAACTGTTTTTTGCCACTTATATTTGACAAAAGTATTTGCCACTTCTATTATTATTACTTAAAATAGAGTGCAGAAAATGGACAAAACACCAGAAAGCCAAACTTCTTGCCTTGTCTCCCCAAAGAAATCAGATCACTCAACTGAATCTGTAAATATTGAACCTTTTCCACATAATTTCTGAAATTTTTTCTTGTTTAAACTTCAAGGAAATTGTGCTACAGGAACAGCACAGGTATGGCAGCCCTGTGCTTATTCCAGTCTAAGTAATTTCCTCAGTTGCATGGGATGGTTTTCTACTTTTACTCTCCATATTGTGAGATATTTCTGATGTTGAGCTGTTTTACAACTTTGTAGGGTACAGTACCATATCACATCCTCCACTCCCTGCTCTGAGGCCCACCCATGAGGTTATAAAACAGCTCCACACATGAAATGGCTATGTTTTTGTTGTAGTTTGAGGTTTTGCAAGGGAACAATATAATACAAGACACATATTTTATAAGATTATAATAGTCATCCAAAGAATCATACACAAAAAGAGTGCAGGAAATCTGTCCACACACTAAAGAACAAAGAATCCAGCTGAGGGCCTGGATTCCATGGTAATATCCTGCATGAGTCCAGCTGAAGACCTAGAGCTCATCACAATACCTCCCATGAGTCCAACTGGAGGCCTAGAGCCCATAACAATAGCTCATGCAGGCCTGTTTCACAGATCTGCACTGAAAGGCCCAAAGGTCAATGGTGGAACCTAGGAAGTCTGTGCCAGCAGGATGAAGGATCTGTGCTAACGGGCTGAGGTATCTACACTGGAGCCAGGAAGTGGTGCTCAAAGCAAGCA